TGTTGAAGTTTCATCAATCGCATCTAAGTGTGAGGAGTGTGTACCAACTGGTACCGTTGACATCTCACACTCACAAAGGGGAAAGATCAGATTAGATTTACTACTGTTCATCTGTTCTATACTTTTCCATAATTTTGTTTTCGAATTCTGATATTTTGCTTGTTTCGCTTGAGTTCAAATGCTGCTCATGTGGTTAAAGCCTTTCAACCAGGTCTTGCTTTTTGGCTTATAATTCAATCAATCATACTATGTTCCACGCTACCCCGAACAACTGCTTATTCGAATGATGTTCCAGTTGCTTGGGTATAAGTCCCATGAAATGGATTGAATTGAATTTAATGAAACGGTGTCATATTCAGCGACGAGAAAAGTTTATTATCGAGGACCTTGGTAGATTCACATAACACAAGAAGGATCTGTGCAAGAGTGGGCTGGCTTTCAGGGTTTTGTCCTGCACCGGGATTCTGATGCCGTTTTTGCAGATGAAACGTTTCACTTGGTTATTATCGAAGGAATTCAAATAGCTGACCTTGTGTCAGAACACTGACTGACTTACTGCTCTCCTTTATTCCAGAAAATCGACTTGGAAACATGATTTTCTAGCACGAAACCGTTTCCACATAGTCCACTGCACTAGTAGAATGCAAATGCTCTAAATGACGCATCCAGACAGCAAACTATCCAGATCATAGATCAGATAAGAACCCGATTTAACATGTTCAAGAATCAAGCCGATGCATATGGATAAGTCATACGTACTGTTAGCAAAGCATTGATAGTTGTCATTCATGAGTTGCACAATGTCGATTACATACTGAAACCGAGGCTGAGATATGCCTGAGCGTCGTGTTTCAGAAATGAATACAATTTTCATTCAGTCGGATGTCTAGCTCGTTTGTGTCCTGGGGCTTTTAATAGCTTGCGTCCCCAGGAACTCAATTTTTAGGTTAAATCCATTTAGTTCCTTTTTCTGTTGTTCCCATCAAGTAGTGAGTTGTATCTTCTTCATTTCAACTTTGCTCACCTTCGGTCGTTTGGTTATCGAAAAACGACAGGAAAATATGATAGGATAAACAGCATTCCGCGAAATATATCAATCTAAAGCATAACTAGCTGGTACATTTTCATCGATGAGTGCAGCCGCTTGACTTGGAGTCAATCATTGAGTGTGTTTTCCCGTCTATCATTCCCTTTTAATCCGTAAAAATGTGGAAAGCTAGTTTTCATTAACAACATTTGAAAACGTCAGGCATCCACCAGGTGAAAGAATACATTACGACTTGATATTGTGCCTTCGATTTCGTAGAAATCCCACATGTAATCCGTACTCGGTAGCCATTGTTGAATTTCAATGCAGTAGGAGAGCATTTGGCCGGAGGTTGTTTGTTTCATAAGAACCTCTGGATCAATTAGGAATCGTCTCCTTCGAACTTCCATGTCTTCCACTAATGCCAGTATTTCCATTGGATACCAGGGTAAATGATAGAACATTTCAGTGCGAAATATCAGGGTGAAGATTTCACTTCGACCCTTCACCCGTTAAAGGGGTTGAGAGAAAAAGTTGAAACGGTAACTGAATGACGGATTGCCACGTTTCCGTCTTCTGACTGTGCCCCCTGAATGTGGTGATCTGAGCACATAAAACTGTCCAATCACTATAGTTCTCCTTTCTATTCTATTTGAAAAAGCCTACCCGTTTGGTACACAACAGATTGCGTGCTTGCCTGTATTTTCTGCTAACCGAAAGCGGATATAATACACAATACACAATTTCAAAGAATATTTCACAAGCAACTTTGTCTGTGAGTGGAAAATGATTGACAAAAACAAGAGTTGAATATTGAATTGGGAAGAATCGGAAACCGCTTTACTCTGCTGGTTGTCTATCAGTTTTCATTCGTAAAACGGAAGTGCGGTTCGGCTGTATACTTCCAAGCGTACTCAAATGTCCGATATTGGACACCAGTGAACCGAACAATTCTGTCCCGCGCTCATTCACTATCTCGCGAACTAAAGTATTGGCTCAGAACTATACAAATAAACAGGAAACCAATGAGCGTCATGGTTTTTTTGGCTAGCTATCTTGAAAATACAATCAATCAGCAAATACACCTTGAAATCAACGTAGATTTTTCTAGTGCATTTGAAATTTTGACAAAAACAAGGGAAAGAAATAAAAGGACTGAAGGAATCAGATTGCCGTAAATTTCTGTTCCGCATTATTTCACTCTCCGGTAAAACGTCACCTTGGTAACATGAGATGTGCATCTTCTTATTGTGAGTTTGGATACCCAACACAATTAGCAAACGATTCTGTCGTCCTCACATAGGCATAATTCAGAATAGGTTCATCTGTATTAAATGTTTCTATTCTAAATAGGAGTTACCAGCATTGGGAATTTTCTCGAACATTCGAATATATGCTCTTAGCCAGAAATCTGAAGCATTTTTTCCATTCGCTAGAACAGAGAGAAGACAAATACTGTGAGTTTTTAAAATTTCTTTTGATCTTCTCAGTCGCTACAGTGTAAAATAAAACAATTTGTTATTTATGCAAAAAATGTTTTGATAACTACAATGGTTTAACGGACAATATTCAAGGAAGTACCGTTGATTGAGCCAGAAACTTTGTGCGTACAAGAAAAGCATCGCCTGTTTGGTAAAACCCATCATGATAGGGGATGATATGCATTCCGCCGTATATTGCAAATAAATGAAATGATACATAGAGATGAGAACCAAACAACAATGTTCCATACGTCATTCGCATAAAACAGTTCCACCTTTTGCGAAAATGCATTGCAACAAAACAAAGCTCTTGTTGGAGCGCTTAACCCCTCGAATGTATGGTGAAAGTTTCCAACCGGATCTTTGATCTGATGTATTGAGTTAACTTTTTTTATTGTTGCGCATTTGCTATCATCGTATGATGTGCAAGAATCTCAGTTTCCTGAGCCGAGTGCGATATGCCCGGTTTGAGTGATGTCTGCGGTAAAAATTGTTTCACTTGGATGTGACAAGTCAAAGCTCTAGTGCTCGGTTTTAGAAACGGAGGACCGGTCTGAGCACAATGCAACGTTTAAGCTGTTGCGTGCACACAGCAAACAAACCCATTTCGCGTTTTTTCCCCACTCACCCGTTATCATATCACACACAATTCATCTAATATATTGACATCACCACTAGTAAGCTATTTGTAAACCACATATGGAACTTTATTTGCCAAATGAGTAAAAGTTACTATAGATAATAGCACTTCCAATAATTATCGTTTTCTTGATGCTTCGCTGATAATTCATTGTTTATTATCCAACACGCAACAAATATTGTTGTGGCGTTGGGAAAGAGCAAGGTTATGTGATAGACACGAAATATCAAGCAGTAATGATGTACAAAACAAATAAATGGCCACGGCAATCTTTTCAATATTACGTGTTTCTCGATCTCAAATGCGTTTTCGCAGGTCAGGCACTATTCCCAGGTAAATTCAACGACTACACATGTCCTGATATTTGTTTCCCAAATAGTTATATTGTTCATGTTATCGGTAGACCCAGTATTCGTTCTGAATATCCGATTTTCGACTACCACGCGAATGTGCTCTCCACAACTCTTTCCGTTCACGTTCATCTATCACAGATAACTCAGTTGAAAATCTCCAGCAACCCATTTGCCAAAGGCTTTCGCGATTGCGAAATCGGGTAAGCAGCTGCTGGTACGCATGAATCCATTTTCCCCGTAATACAACCAATATATTAGGTGTGGCTTTTTCTCCACTTTTTTGCGTCACACATGCATCAAAAGTACCGCCTGGGGATTTTTATCCAAATCAATGAGAAAATGTTTCAACTAATCAACCGGAACAACCGAGGGACACTGGGTTGTTTCTATTTTCTTTTTTACCCCCTGTATTGACCCGTGCTGGATTGCCAATGAATGTTGCTTTCACTGGTAAAGGCTAATTCCAATCGGCTGGCATCCCAGACTAGGCTTGGGGGAAGAAAGCACAAGACTAATAGTATTAGGAACAAAAAATTAGGTGGACATTCGTGTGGTTCCAATTTATTTCCTATCATAGTTAATAACTAGCACTACTATTCTGAAACATTATCGAAACCATCACAAAGAGAAACGTACAAATTCGTTTCTCACAGGTCAGATTGAGAACGGATTATCAGGCTTGTTTTTATGTGACTGGGCTGGAACGAATCGGAACCAGAAACCCAGAAATGAATATAGGAAAATGGTTAAAGGAAACGGAACAGCCGATTTCTATTCTATCATTGATTTTTAAAGTAACATGTAAAATGCAAATAGGCAAGAGGTCGGATGCCTGTGGACTGATGAATAGTGTGCAAACTCACAGATATTTGGATACGAATAGATTTCTTTTAAAGGACGAAAATCTTAAAATGGTCAAACACGATTGTTTGTCCGTCTTTTTCTCACTGCAACTTATGGCCGAATTTTACGGTTGATTGATTTTCAAGTCAACTTTTGATTCCAAACATCTGATTACACTCCGGTTTCAATACATACACAAAAAGTTGGCCTGTGACTCCCTTCCTCAACCCACCCCACCCCTCGTCCCTCCACCCCGGTCCACCTCATCCCGTGGCAGTTGTTTGTTTTTCTTCAAATCTTGTTCATTTTTCTCTCTTTTCCTCTATCTCTCTCTCTCTCGGTCGACCCCTCTCAGCCTCAATATATAATTTTTCAAGTGTGTACACACTGAACAGTTAGTTGTGCAAAGGGACATCCTCCTTTCCCCCGAAATTCAGTTAGAATCCAGACCGGATATGTTCAGCGCCTCGTGCTCTCTTGTACGGAAATGTTCAAGCTGAAACAATCAGCGCACAATAGTAAACACCGGTATGCCCTATGTGACAGTGAAAAATCACGCACGACTGGCCGTGGGAATACAAAATTTTGTGCCAGATTTGAATCGGACCAAACCCACAACCGGCGGTGACAGCAGTTTGACCAGTCGCATCGGACGAAATTCGGTTCATCCTCCCGGCACAGTGGACTATAGTTTGACAATATGTGCAGCTATGTGGACAAATGGTCCCAAACGCGAAAAGTTGTTTCTGCCAACCCGTCAATCGTCGTTCTACAAGGGGCATGAAAAATTAAAAAAAACTAGCAGACTCTGAAAGCTACCCTGATAATGCCACAATTAGACAAACAATGAGGACGAAAATTCACATTAGACGGGGGGGGGGCCTTGAACAAAACTTCAAATTTATCACATCTACCATGATCTGCATAGTCTATAATCATCTGACCGTACAATTCTTTCTGATTCACGTCTATTAATACGATATATTAACATTGAAATTAAACTCATGGATTTAGTGACACTTTTGATCTCATAAATCCGGAACGTTGTGAGCATTTTTCCATGGCAAATATGGGTATTTTGTCACAATTTAGGATATTTATTCGCATATACATCATGGTATTTTCAGGATTTGGGATACTAAATCACATGGTTTATGAACAGTAAGCTTCGTAGAATACATGCCGTATAGATGTGCTACTGGTATGAGTTCGAGACCAGAAGAGACCACTCATAATTTCACACACGTACAAACAAACGCACAACAGCACAATGAGAACTTTTATCTATATTTTTTTGTAACAGTAGAAGGATTTGATTTTATGATGAATTTACTTGTGTGTGGAGTGAAGGCACGGTGATCTGAAAGTTTATATCATCGTTTTATGTTCAGTTGGTATCCGCATTTCCACATTTCTACTATTTATACAAAATGTCAATAAAGAGGGACTTGATCCAGTACAAAAACGGCATGACGAAGCAGTTGTTCTCTTCAAGTTTGTTCGAAAAAGGAATTCGGTTGGGCTAGGGTTTCACATACAGTGAGAGTAGAAGTAGGGAATATATGTTGCCGCTATCGGCTGACTGTCATTCAAAACTCGTCCTAGTGCACCATTCTCAATTTGTCCAATGCTTCATCATTCACTCAGAAAGCGCCAGGAGTGGCCCGGAATTGAGACATCGAGAGGAGACGATGGATATGAACATGTTCTCCAATTTAACGAGAGTAAAGCCGGAGTCGAGCAGACGAGTTAGATACAACGGGGTCGTGTTCATCTGTTAAAATCCTCATAAACTTCCTATTTTTCTGTTGACTAATCACAAATGCATAAGCGCATCGCATGAGCATCAAAATATTAAATCTTGGCCCCTTTTGAATATAATTGCATAGAGCACCATTGACTACCAAGTTGTGTATTGATTCAACTCTAAAGCAGAAACCGAATTTAATCACAGTACAGAGTTTTATCTCTCACTCTTCTTCCTTACATACTAGCCACAATTCGGCTTGCAATCAGGAACTGATAATTTGTCGCTGAAGGGCCGGAATGGCTCTGTTCCACCGAATGTTTGCCCCGAAGTCAGGCGCGGTCAACTGGGATTAAGTGATAAAAGTAACTTT